GCCCTCTGCGCCGCGCCGCGCGGGAAAACCTGTTTCTGAGAGAAGCCACAGAGCCGGGAGCGCAGGGCCGGGAGCGCAGGGCCGGGAGCGCAGAGCCCGGAGCGCAGAGCCCGGAGCGCAGAGCTCGGAGCTCCACTGGAAGGCCCTGAGAAGTCCGCCAGGCGCGCAGGGCCAGTGCTGGAGGTTTTGGTTTTGGTTTTGTTCCTTGGTTTCTTGTCCAAAACCAACACGGATGAGGGTAAGTTGGGCTGATGAAGGCGCCGGACCCCCACAGTGCTGATCGCGGTTTGAGCCCCAGACCTGGCCGCTTAAAAACTCACGGCTGCGTGTGCAAAATCCTAGGAGGAGAATGGGGGAGAAGGGATTGTAGTGTGGCCATCCCCCTGGGGGTGTTCTCTTTTTCCCTCTCACTGCCTTTCTGTCTCTGGTGAGACAGGCTAGAGCCTAATAATAATAATAACAACAACTTGGCTGGTGGCTGTGAGCTGTTTTCAGTATTATCTTAGAACCATTCCAGTTTTCCACCCCAGTGAAAAGGAAAGAAAAGAAAGTCTCCGAAAATATGATCCTTACATTTTAACACTTTAAGTAGTGCGTGGGTTTAACTGGATTTAAGCAACTTCATTTTCTACCTTACCTACGTCGGCAGTAGATAAGCAGGAAGGATGGTTCACCCACATTAGAAGCAAAGACCGTTCTTCCTTTGTCCGGACTTGAAGTAGAACCGCTTTCCTGTTGAATCACCTGCACCTCTTCTGCGCATCATTTGTGCCTCCCGCTGCGTTAAGTTTATTCACCCAGCAGCACCTGCTGTGGATCTGCCCGGTTAATCCCCAGACACAGGCCTCCAGCTAGCCCCCTGATGTAAAAAGCTGTCTGACAGACCTGTCTCTAGTCTCTGCGCACTGCTTCCTGCTGCTGCTTCACCTGTCCTTGTTCTGGATGTCACCAAGGACCAGCTTGTGAGATCCAGTCTGTTGGGGGTCCCCTTGTCCCCTGGCCTCTCAGCATGGGGCAGTTGGACACTGTTGCTCCTCATACTCTCCCTCATACCCTTTCTCCCTCACTGGCTACCAGGGCACCACGTGCCTGGCCTTTTCCTCGCCTCAGTGGTCTCACCTCATCGGTCACTCCTCCCGTGTCCCCACTGAGTGCTGGGGACCCCGTCCCAGTCTTGCCAGGCTCTTTCTCCCGAGGCTGTCCTACCATCTACAGGCGGTGACTTCCAGATGTTTACCTCTGGCTGCATTTTTCTTCTGAGCTACAGTTGCACATATCTTGGTGTTGCTAAGCTCCTCCACCTGAAAGTCCCATAGGCATTTATTTATTTATTATTAACATAAACATTTATTGACTGAAAGGTTGAGAAAGAGGCAGAGGCACCGCTGACAGTCTTTATACGGCAATCCTTCTAGTCCAGTAACCAGCCAGGATCACAGGTCCAGGCCTGTTCAAGAAGTCGAGATTGCTAGTGCCACCCCCAATCCTCCCTTCTGCCTCCCTCTCAGTGGCTGTCCTTCTCCCAGTAACTTCAGTGCCACTCAGGAAAGTTGACACTGGGGAAATCGGTCTCAATGCCTCCTTTTAGCTCAGATCAAGCATCTAGCAAATTCTGACTCTGCCTTGTGAGATGTCTCCAGGCTGCCCTAGGACCTCCCCTCTGGCTGAGGCCCAGTCCTCTCTTCCCCAGGTGGTAGGGCAGACCTTGCCCCCACCTGACCCCCACACTCCTTCTGATAGCAGTGATTACCATATTTTTTTTTTTTTCAGACAGAATCAGAACTTCCACTTCAGAGTCAAACAGACCAAACTCTCCAGATGACTAAAGTGCTGTGTGATGCCGCCCCAGATTACCCTTGCTGCCTAACTTCCTTCTGGGCCTCTCCACACAGCGCCCTGACCTAGTTGCTGTTCCCCTCGCCTGCAACTGTCCCCTCTAGGCCACCATGGACCGGACGGTCCCCCACCTGCAGTCCCATGGGTTCCCTTCCAATTGAATTGATTCCTGCGATCATTTCTCCTGCTGGCCCTGTAGGTGGGTTGTGCTTCCACACCGAATGCTGCTTCTAGTATTCTGTGGCATTTATGGCACCTTTTAACACTGCTGGTCACTGGTGGTCTCTAAAACTGACTCGAACTACTGTCTTCTCTTGTGCCTCACTTTGATGAGAGACAGTTTGCCTTTAAATTCTGTATTTTATAAAATGTCTTTCTGATTTGGAGATAAGTTTTCCTCTTAATATCTGTTCTTATTTTAAAATATAGAAAATGAAAGAAAAATATACAGTTTACTGGGAAAAAAAAATTTATTTATGCTAGCAAGTGGCTTACTTGTTAAGGCAGCTGGATCCCACTTGGCCTAATTTGCCACTGTAGTTCCAGACCATGACTTGAAAACCGTGCAGGACCTGTGTGTATGCATGCCCAAAATCTGGAGGGGAGAATGGAGAAGGGATTGTGGTGTGACCGTTCTCCCTGGGAGGGTGGCTTCTCACTTTCCTTCTTTCTCTTTGTGGTGAGCACATGAGGCCTATAGCAAAAAACTTTAAAACAAAAAATAATATTTCGATGGTACTCGTAACATTTTTTTGGTACTAGTAACACTTACTGGGAAGAAGAAAAATAAAGAAGCTTATTTTGAGAATACTGTACAAGTTTTTATAATAAGTTCTGCAGTGACTAAGCCAATTATGATATTTCAGAATTGTCAATATTCTATAGAAAAATCCAGTTCTCTTTTTAAAAATCTGTGAGAAAGGAAGTTAAAATTCATATTTTCATCTTTATGAAAAGCTGCTGAGGATTAAAAGGTCATTTAATTTATACTGTATATTTCTCATTTTATTTCCAAGGAACCGGTTCTGATATCTGTAGCGTATGCACTACTTTCCCTTTCCTAAAAAAAAAGTATATGTTTTTTAAGGATTGGGATTTAAGATAATTGAATAAACACGTGCAATATAAGTTTAAATTAAAAAATTTTAAAGTGGGCTTGGAATATGGAGCAGAAAGAAGGGTGGGAATGTTAGGAGGAAGCCCACAGTAAAGTCAGTATCAGAACACCCTCCATAAACTTCTGTCTGTCAGAGTAGATACAGGGTCCACAGGGGAAAGCAAGTGTCCCGGTAAAGATCAGTTCAGTTTTTCTTTTGCTACCTATTAGAAGCAGTTTTTTAAAAGGTAGTTAAAACAGTTACTTGCTCAAGGACCTGTCTTAGGTACTGTGGAGAGGAATATTCTTTTAGTATTTATTTATTTATTTAAGAGAGGTTTTTTTGCTATCAGGCATGTGTTCTTGCTAGAGATATGGAGAGGCAGACAGAGAGAGAATATAAGAAATCAGCTTCCAGGGGGGTGGCCATGTCACAATCCCTTCCCCTCCATTTTCCTCTCAAGATTTTCACTCACGCACACATAATCTGGCGTGACTTTTAAGCTACATGGTCTGGGACTCGAACAGAGGTCAGCTGTGTGGGAGTCCAGCGCCTTAACCACTTCACCACCTGCTGGCCCCATCCTCTAGTAGTTATAATTAAGTAGAATACTGGGTGAAACCCTGTTGAGTTTGGAATTAGCAAACCTATGTTCTGGAAAAATCTGAGTATAAATAAAACACAGAGGAAACAAAGTTGAACCTGGACATGGGCTAAAACTTTTTAGAATGTGCAGATATGGCATATAAGGAAGATACTGTCAATATGACCCATATTTAAAAATACAAAACCGGGGCCAGCAGATGTGGTGGTTAAGGCATTTGACTCCCACATGGCCAACTGCAGCTCAAGTCCTGGCCCTGGTGACTTGAAACTCACACCAGGCACATGTGCATGTGTGTCCAGAATTCCATGAGGAGAATGGGGGAAGAAGGGCCCGGTGTGGCCAATGCCCTGGGAGGTGATTTCTCACTTTTCACCTGTCTCTCTCTCTCTCCAGCGAGCACTTGTGCTCTATGGCAAAACCAAATAAATAAATAAATAAAAATATAAAACCTAAAAAATATTTTTTTTATTTGCTATAGGGCACATGCGCTCGCCAGAAAGACAGACCGAAAGTGAGAAATCACCTCCCCCACCCTCTGCTCCCATCCCAGGGAAATGGCCACACCGCAATCCCTTCTCCTTCATTCTCTCGGGATCTTGGGCACGCGTGCACATGTGCCCAGCGTGAGTTTAAGCCACTGGATCCGGGACTCAGACTGTGGTTGACTACTTGGGAGTCAAGCTATGTAGCCATTAGACTATCTGCTGGTCCTTATAATACATGTTTTTAATGAACTTTTTGAAGATTCCTTACATAGTAATTTTAAAGAATATGTATATATTCTCATACATATACCATCCACAGATAGCCTATGTTACCTTTTTGATGTACTTCTTTTTTATTTTTAGAACAAGGCAGAAATCAAGAAATCACCCTCCAGGGGTGCTGGCCACACCCCAATCCCTTCTCTAGTCTCCTCTTGGGATTTTGGGCACTCACTCACATGCACCTAGCGTGAGTCTTAAGCTGCCGGGTCCAGGACTCAAACCATGGTTGACTGTGTGGGAGTTCAGCAACGTAACCATTACGCCACCTGGTAGTCCCCTTGATGTACTTCTTTCCAATCTATTTGCTCTGCATTTTGTTTTACAGTGCTGAATTTATACTGTATATACTATTTTATAATCTGCTTTTTTTCACTTATACTATGGAAGCATTTTTCTCACGTCATTAAGATTATTCATGACATAGAACCAGCAGTTGATGCAGAGGTTAAGGCGGCTGGATTCCACATGGTCGACGGTGAACAATGTGATTTGAGTCCGGACCTGGCAGCTTGAAAAACATGCCAGGCACATAGGCATGTGTGCCCTTGAGTCCAGAGAGAAGGGATTGAGGTGTGGCCATCTCCCCTTTGGGGATGATTTCTCACTATCCCTGTCTGTCTGTCTGTCTGTCTCTGGTAAGCACATGTGCCTTATGGCAAAACCAAAAAGAAAAAAAAATCTAAAGTCATGGTATGTTCTCAGCCATAGTTTCTTCCAGTTCCCACAATTGTTAGTCCTCCTATGCTGCTGCAGGGATAATTGTGATGCTTTCTTCATGCCAATGGACTTTCACTAGCTTCTAACTGCTTGCTTATCTTTGCAACCTCTCTTTACTTGATCACTTATGTTTGTTTGATCTTTTCTCGAAGGCACGTTTTGCCAAAAAACATTCATCATATTTTTTTCTGACAGATCCAGCCACTATCCCTTGTATTTAGTTGTTATGCATGAAAACTGTTTGCGACAATAAGAACATCTTAAAGCACAGTTACAAACACCTTGTAAAGTTGCCATCAGACTGAGAAAGCTTAATAAGTGGAATAATTTTGTGAGATTGACTGAGGGCCAGTAAGAGAACTTAGTCTTCTGAACTGACTGAAACACCGGGAAAAATGTATAACTCTGCTGTTGGCATTGTAATGGATTTACATTTAATAATTTATAAAATTTACTTTGCATAAATCCATTTATTTAAATTATGAAAGGCACTTAAGACAGTGTCCTCATAAATTGGTATTGTATAGGAAAACATACAATTTGCACATGTGTATATGAATATGTATATTGAAATACATACACTTTAAAGCAATCATATGCAAACACACATATATTTGGTGTAATTTTAACACAAATTTGGATTCATAATCTATTGTTATGTATTTTATTATTATTTTTATTGCTGGAGTGCACATCCACTCCCAAGAAAGAGGAAGAAGGAGAAAGCACCCTCAGTGGGGTGTGGTCACTGTCATAATTCCTTCTTCATTTTTCCATTCTGTTGGGATTTGGGGCATACACGCACACATGCCCAGCATGTTTTTCTTCTTCTTCTTTTTTTTTTTAAAGAATTATTTATTTATTTTTAGTTTATTTATTCTTTTATTTTAATTTGACCATGGAGAGAGAGAGAGGAAGTGAGAAAGCAAGCCACCAGGTCCAGAACTTGAACAATTGTTGGCCATGTGAGAGTATCCAGCGCCCTAACCACCATGCTACCTACTGATCCCAACCT